TTGAACCGCGGTCCCTGATGCTTTGTTAAGCTTGTTCTAAGTAGGTGCTTTAGACCACTGAGCCATCTCTCCAGCCCCTAGTCTTTAAATAATCTGAATCAATCCTATGATTTTTATACTGCTATATGGTAATGATTCTAATCTTTATCTCAATATTTCATTTGAACTCCAAAGTCATATATCTGCCTGCCATTTCCTTAGGTTTTTCGACATCTTCTATGTAACATGTGTTAGTCCAAACTTCCTCTTAAAGCATTTATTTTTCTGGTATTCAACTTTACCATAACTTTAAAAATGGATTCATGCTGAAAATGTAGTAGTTATGTTGATTTGTTTCCTTCCCATTCTGCATCCTTTATTGTGTCATCAGCTTTATCTTCAAATCAGATCACAAATCTGACATTTATCCATTATAGCCCTTAGTCTAAGTCATTGTCACTTTTTGCACTGCCAGAAAAAGTCTTCTAACTAATTTTTCTACTTGCACTTTTACTGCTTTGGAGAATCTTCTCCATACAGATAGACATGGCAATCTTTTGAAAATTACAAAACAGACTTTATCATTTCCCCACACAAAATCCTTCAAAAGATTTCTATCTCTTTTAGAATAAAAGCCCATATCATCCTATGTTTTTGGGCAGATCTGGACCCTACCTATTATGTTTTATTTTGTGAACCAACTTGGCTGAGTCTCCATATAAATAGAGAGATCTGGCCTTTGATCTCTTGCTTCTGTTTCTATGGAGAACCCCAACACATTGCCTAATCTCTTTATTTCTTATCATTCATCTCCTCCCTCATTTCACTCGAGACATACTGTCTGACTTCCTGTTTTTCAAGAGCACCAGACTCATTTTAGCTCATTGGCCTTTGTACTTGCTGCTCTCTGCATGCTTATGCCCCTCACCAGGCAGTGCAGTTATGTCACTGATGGAAGCAAGCATGGGATTAATTGCCTTGCAGTCTTACAAATGTTTGTGCTCTTCTAATTTACCTTGCTGATAGTCTGTGTTAGGTCATCAGGGCAACTTAAAAAATGCAACTTGGAAAGTGCTAGTTCTTGCCAGGGATTTTAATACTCTACATGACCCTGAACCTGGCAGAGACACACTGAAGCACATCTTGGAGAACTTTGTGCTTTTGTAATGTAAATCAACCAATGACCAATCCCTAAAGAGACTTAATAATCCCATCTGTAACCAATCAAACAATGCCTTTCAGAATCCTGCCTTATTTGACAACAATTCTTTTTTTGACCCTCTCTGGGTCTCCTGCATGGGGGAACTTGAAGAGACTCAGTGAACTCATTTGGCATAATCAAAGTTTCGCTTGCCTGGTGAGCAATAAGCTCAGCTTTGATCTTGAAGCTTTGATTATCTGGTTCTTTCAGTATGTCAGAACCTTAGTGATTTCATTTTCTTACTCTTTATTGTTTTAGGTTTCAAACTTTTTAAGGTATTTGGTGCTTTGTCTCTTTGCTTTCCCAAACTGTTTTGTGAGAACAGAGTGCATTCTCTTCCAAAAAAGGAAGGATTTCACTGACCTAGATTAGGGACAACCTTTGGATTGTTTTAGGTAGTTTGTTCTGAAAAATTATACAAAACTTAATTCTTAAAACGCTGTCAAATCTGAATCATTCTCAGGCATTCCTGAACTGACCCCCCCAACAAAACAAAACAATAAAACATCTCTAAACTTTAATTACTATAGCTATTTATTTTGGTTCCTCTCTGTGGGTGAGATTTACATTAATTAGAGTATAATGAAGCCTGCCCTTTCAAACAAATTTATTCCTTTGTTTGCACTCATTTGAGCAAACTGGCTGCACTGTGTGAGCTCTAGCAAAAGGGAGGCATTAAAAACAGTTTACACAAAACCAACCCCCCAGACCTGAACTTCCCCATCTTTAGCAAGACAGTTGCCACTTTACCCACTTGAGGTTTGTGAACAGAGATCTGTGCTTTCTCTCTTGTTGTTTTTCTACCTGAAGAACAGACAAATTTTTTGGGAAATATTTCCTTCTCTGTGGCTTTGTGGTTAGTATTCAGGCCATCACCTCTGTTATCAGACGGTGGCAACAAAGCTTTTCTGCCTTAATCTTCTGTGAGGTGGTGGGGGAATGGATTGCACAGTAATGAGCTGTTTTTGCAGGCTTCCTTCGGGAGCCTTTTCTTATATCCCTTGGCAAGAGGAACTAATTCAAAACAGCAACCCAGCCCCTGGGCATCTAAAATTCACAGCAATTCAGCTGACTGGACAGTAAGAGGGTCTCCCTGAAAATCAGTGCTATAAATTAGGGCTTCATTCTTTGAGGGGAGAGGTAGCTAGAGGTTTTCTGGAACCTCTTTACACAACCTTATATAAGACTCATCCCAGTCAGTGTTTTAAAGCTAACTGAAGATGGTAGGGAGCATGCTGGGAGCTGTTTTCTTCCCTCATTATGCTGTTTCATCATCTAAGAAACAGGAACGGAGAATGTCAGTGTATTTCCTCCCAGGGCAGCAATCAGGAACTGTTTTACTCTTCATGAACTTGGCCAGATAGACTTCATTTTTTGAGGGCAGGGCTAGAGACTTTTATCTTTGCATTTCCAGCAGGTACCATGCTTTCTGGCACTTAGCGGACTCTTAGTACATACTTGATGGGCCCCAGATGGATGGTTGGTCATCTAGACTGATGGTGGAAGCTCATCATTCTATTTCCATAGTCAGCACTGCTGCTGGCTTGTCTGCTGATGTCAGGTGCTCAGTTATTGCCTCACCATGTATTTCTACTTCCTCTGGCTCCAGCCTCCATTTGTTTACATTTCTGTGTGCAGACATTAGTTCTTTCCATCCCGCCTCTTGCGTCACACAAGAGACCTCTCTCTTTACTTTCACCAGGAGGAATCTGCTTAATGTGTGCACAGAATGTGTGTCCTTTATTTGTAGATTCCAACTTCCTTTTCTCCTCCACTCACATCTTTTCCTCACACTCAAAGTCTCCTCATTTTTTCCACCCACACAGATTGTCATTGATTCCAGGATTTATTCCTTTTTCTGCATTTTCTTTTTCTCTATTTTTATGCTTTTGTTTAATTTTATCTCCTCCCCCTTTGCCAGTTTCTCTGTTGACATATTTCTTAACTTGCTGGAGGCTTGATTGAAGGAGGGATAATTTTTAACTTTTGATTCACATTGCAAGTGAAATAACCAAGCAAAGATAGAGTTGTGGATACAGTGGTGGAAGTTGCATGTGTCTTTCAGTATCAGGGATAATAATTAAGAGTGCTAACTGGAAGAGCCATTCCATTTGGCTTAATTTAATGGTTCTCAACCAGGAACAATTTTTCTGGCAATCAATTTGACA